GACATTTTTAAAGGGAAGTTAAAAATCAGTTCATTTTCAATGAGATGTGATACTGGGGACTGAAGTCACATGGCTCAATTTTCTCTTGACATGAACCTGGGGGTGGGAGAAGGGATTTGACTCAGGTCATGCTGAGCTGGGGCAAAGACTCGTCCTAGCTCCTCCACAGCTGAGTGGCACACACAGGGACTGATGGCAGCTCAGGAGCTGGCAGGTGCTTGAGAGGGGCAGACTGGGGTCTGACTCAGGACCCTGCCCTCAATTAGCAGATGACCCCACGCCCTAAAGAAGAAAACCATCACGAGTACCATGGGTATGAAAAGATAAATGTAAAGCCCAGCAATCACCACAGCTCCTGAGCGCTCACTGCGTGGCGAGCAGCCTCCTGAGCAGGCAGCTGGAGCATCTCGCTCACTTCTCGCATGAGCCCTCTGAAGTCTGTCCCTTTATGTCCATTTTGCAGATAAAGAGACTGACCACCTCCTCACGCCACTTGGTAGAGGTGTGCTTTGCCCGCAGCTCTCCCTGGTTCCAAGCCCCATGCATTGCATTGCCCATTGCACACAGCCACCTCATCAAATTCCTGAAAGTGCATGTCACGACCTTAAAGATCACCATTCCCCGTTCACTGACATCTATCAAAGCCCTTCCTCCACTGCAGTGCCTTAACTATGTGCTTGCTAGGAGTCTTTGGGAGAAAATTAGCAAGAGAACGATTAAAACCCCGAACAGAGCTCAAGCGTTTGTGGTACTTACCTTTAGATTGGCACAGGATTTGGTTGTTCAGCTGTTCTTTCTCATCTTTCAAGAGAGCATTTTCTTGCTCTAAGTCTGCAACTCGCTGGAAGAGAGTACAATGGGGAGAAAATGTTCTGTGAGAACACAGGTAAAAGAGAGGCTCCTTGGGCCGGGTTTGAATTTTAAATGCTAACGTGTAAATGCTCTTTGTGATTAGGAAAGTTGAATGGGCCAAAGCTGTTTTCATTTTGAAGCAAAAATTGTATTGTAAAAGAAAAATCCTAAATAAGACAGTTGAGTGCAGCACTATTTAAATGGTCATCTAACACCCATAGAAATATCACAAAAAGTCCACTCCAAGCTTGCATGCCTTATTGAGGAACTTACAAAGAAAATAGGGTCTTGTGTTATTATTGTATTTATTTGCCTGTGGTGCTAAATTCTGAGCTCTCAGAGCCGAGTCTTAAAGAAAGCCAACATTCACCATGAACAAAGCATCTCTGGTCTTTACCCACTTGCCCTTCCCCATCTTACTAGACCTAACGTGGTCCAAATTCTGGGAAATGGAAGAAGACTTGTTACTGACACAGAATTATCCAATCTAGTGTTCGGTTGCTGATGCCACTGCTAAAGAAAACCAAAGTGAGGTGAATATTTCAAAAGAAAGAAAAGGACAAAATTAAAGAAAAGCCATGGCATATTCAAGGGATATTTAAAACAGTATGAGGTAAGTTTTTACTTATTTGTTTATTTACTGCAGTTTTTGGCCGGGGCGGGGTTTATTTATTTTTTGAGACAGAGCCTCAAGCTGTCCCCCTAGGTAGAGTGCTGTGGCATCATACCTCACAGCAATCTCCAATTCCTGGGCTCAAGAGAGTCTCCTGCCTCAGCCTCCCAAGTAGCTGGGACTGCAGACGCCCATCACAACACCTGGCTATTTTTTGGTTGCAGCCGTCATTGTGGTTTGGTGGGCCGGGTTGGATTTGAACCGGCCACCTTAGGTGTATGTGGCTGGCGCCTTAGCCACTTGAGCCACAGGTGCCAAGCCCTGGGGCTAGGTTTAAACCCACCACCTCTGGCATATGAGGCTGGTGCCTTACTCCTTTGAATGACAGGCACTGCCCATAAGTTTTTGAAAGTGAATTTTTTTTGGTATTTATTATGGGAGCAACTATTTGTATAGATTTTTAAAAATGCAACAATTCAGAGAATTTGAAATTATTAGTTGGTATAAAGGAGAATGAGAAAAGGTATATTTCTTTTATAACATGGGGACTAAACTACAATTGATCTGTGTTTAGAGTCCCTGGAGAGTTATTCCGCAACTCTGCAGGAGGGGAACAGGTAATTTCCCCAACTAAAATCACATCCCCACCTTTGTGATATAGAAGAAATAGTTGAGCACTGTGGAAACCGGGTGGGGAGAACAAGGAATGTGAGTGAGGGCCCCTCAAAAAGTTAAGCCACAAGACTTGAGCCCTCACTTCCCTGATGACTGAGCTGTCACCAGTCCCTACAGGATGAACACCTGTGATCACATCACCAGTGCAGTACGCAGCAAGAAGATGAGCTTTACAGCCACACAGATCCTGGTCTCTATAAACTTCAGCTTCTTTGTCTGTGAAACCAACACCCAATTCGCAGGGCTGCTTTTAGCATTAAATGAGGTGGATATATGTGAAGTACTAAGGAGCAGGGGTTACATACAGCAGGTGATTAATCTATGTAGACAGCTCTGCATTACCTTTATTAGGCACTAAATGAGGCATTCTTTTAAACCATTCCACCACTTAACTAAAAACTAAAGAGTATCTGTTCTTCATAAATTCTTCCAAACAGTAGAAGAGGGAGCACTTTCCAGTTCATTCTAGGAGGCCATTATTATTATTCTGATACCAAAACCAGAGAAAGACATTACAGATAAGCAAAACTAGAGACCTGTCTTAGGAATATAGATTAAAAAATCCTCAACTAAATACTAGCAAGTAAGTGCTCATGATAGAAACACTCAACATGCTAGAAATAGAAGTGAACTTCCTCAACCTGATAGAGAGCGTCTGAAAAAGTCCATAGCTAATACTGTCTTTTATGGTAAAAGGGTGAATAACGCTTTTCCCCTAAGATCAAGATGACGACGAGGACATCTGCTCTTGCCACTTTGAGTCAACACTGTACTGAAAGTTCCAGACAGGAAAATTAGGAAGGAAAAAAAAAGCATCTAGAACAGAAAGGAAGAAGTAAAACTATATCTGTAAATGACACAATCTTCTATGTAGAAGATTCTAAGAAATCCACTTAAAAACTATGAGAACTAATAACAGGGAGTTCAGGTTGCAGGGTCTAAGATCAGTACCCAAAACTCTACTATATTTCTAAATATTTGCAATAAACTATCTGAAAAAGAAATAATGATCATGTTATAATAGTACTGAAAAGAATAAAATGCTTAGGAATAAATTTAATGAGAGAAACACAAAATGTTTATTTTGAAAACCACAAAACATTGCACAAAGAAAGAAAAATCTTCATAAATAGAAAGTCATGCTGAGGTAACGGATCAAAAGACTTAATACTGTTAAGATGGCAACACTCCTCAAATTGACCTACAGGTTCAATGCAATCCTTGTCAAGATCTGGGTGGCTTCTTTGCAGAAACTGACAAGCTGATCCTAAAATTCATGTGTGATATGTAGTACACAGGGATCAAGGATAGCCAAAATAATCTTGAAAAAAGGTGGAAGAATCCCACTTATAAATTTTAAAACTTATAAGCTACAGTAATAAATACAATGTGATACTGGCCTAAAGATCAATCAATGGAATAGAATTGACTGTCACACTGACAAATGCTTTTTGACAAAGTTACCAAAACAATTCAATGGGGAAAAGAATAGTCTTTTCATCAAAAGGTGGTAAAAAATTGGATATCTATATGCAAAAGAATGAAATTAGACAATACTTCACCATTTCAAAATGCAGGCTTAAATATAAGAGCTAAAACCATAGAAGTCTTAGAAGAAACATGGGAATAAATCTTGGTGACCTTGGATTAGGCAACATTTTCTTAAATACTAAAAATACAAGCAACCACATTAGAAAGAAAATCAAACCATCAAAATTTAAAGCTTTTATACTTAAAACCTTTAAGCAAGCGAGGAAGCCAACCCCCAAGATGGGATAAAATATTTGCAAGTCATATATCTGATACATGAATATATATCATATTACCATGAATATATAAAAAACAGTTGCAACTAAACTTTTATTGTTGAGACAAACAATCCAATTAAAGAATGGGCAAAGATGGCTCGGCGCCTATAGCTCAACCGGCTAAGGCGCCAGCCACG